TATTCCGGTAACACATCTAATGCATTCCGGTAACACATTTAATGTATTCCGGTAACACATTCAATGCATTCTGGTAACACATTTAATGTATTCCGGTAACACATTTAATGCATTCTGGTAACACATTAAATGTATTCTGGCAACACATTTAATGCATTCCGGTAACACATTTAATGTATTCTGGCAACACATTTAATGCATTCTGGTAACACATTTAATGCATTCTGGTAACACATTTAATGCATTCTGGTAACACATTTAATGCATTCCGGTAACACATTTAATGTATTCTGGCAACACATTTAATGCATTCTGGTAACACAATTAATGCATTCCGGTAACACATTTAATGCATTCTGGTAACACATCTAATGCATTCTGGTAACACATTTAATGTATTCTGGTAACACATCTAATGCATTCCGGTAACACATTTAATGTATTCTGGCAACACATTTAATGTATTCTGGCAACACATTTAATGCATTCCGGTAACACATTTAATGTATTCCGGTAACACATCTAATGCATTCCGGTAACACATTTAATGTATTCTGGCAACACATTTAATGTATTCTGGCAACACATTTAATGCATTCCGGTAACACATGTAATGTATTCTGGCAACACATTTAATGCATTCTGGTAACACATTTAATGCATTCCGGTAACACATTTAATGCATTCTGGTAACACATTTAATGCATTCTGGTAACACATTTAATGCATTCCGGTAACACATTTAATGCATTCCGGTAACACATTTAATGCATTCTGGTAACACATTTAATGCATTCCGGTAACACATTTAATGCATTCCGGTAACACATTTAATGTATTCTGGTATCACATTCAATCATTCTGGTAACACATTTAATGCATTCCGGTAACACATTTAATGTATTCTGGTAAGACATTTAATCATTCTGGTATCACATTCAATCATTCTGGTAACATATTTAATGCATTCTGGTAACACATTTAATGCATTCTGGTAACACATTTAATGCATTCCGGTAACACATTTAATGCATTCCGGTAACACATTTAATGCATTCCGGTAACACATTTAATGTATTCTGGTATCACATTCAATCATTCTGGTAACACATTTAATGCATTCTGGTACAAACCGCCCTAAACCGCCCGAACAAAACCCAGTTTTGCGGTTTGGAAGTTTAAACAATAGACAGTGCGGTTCAGGACGACCGCACAGATTTGCATAAAAACTGCGGTTCAAACCGATCTCATTCACACCTCATTCAAGCTGTTGTTTATTTTTAGGATTGACAGAGTTTACATTGCTTTTTGAAGACTAGACAGTTGTCTCTAAAATGTGTCGATTTATTGGTGTACAGTAGTCATTTTACCACGTGTCTTGCCTAAAAAAAATACTTTTTCGTATATCGGTGAACAGCGTGCTAAATAAATGGTTTTGTTTTGATAAACTGTTATGCTCGAGTCGCAAATTGAGCAGAGGACGTGAATCAGACTTTTCATTGGGCTGGACAATTGATAAGTGTCTCTGACAGCTAATAAGTATCAGAAGACGAACATTTGTTGATACAAAGTTGCACTTGAGACTTACGCTACTGTGTTCAAGCCTTTACTACTGTTGCGCGTTCAATTTTCAAACAGTTCCTTCAGGAGTGCGGCATCGCAAAATCCGGAAAAACAAATGCAGTGTACGCCATGAAAATTTATTTTGATTTGCTGCACATCGGTTATTTGCAGTTTTTCTTATTCAATTGCCAGTGACACGAAGTATCAAAACAGAAATTATTTAAGGCTATTCATCTGCAGACGAGACTGCTTATAAAAAACGAACCCTGACCTCTGAAAATACCTTATTCATAGAGTGCCTTGTGCCCAAGACCGTCGCCCAAGGCGACACAATGCACGTTGCGATATCGCAATCGA